CTGAACCGCACCATCTCCTTCAGAAAGTGAACCCAGATGGAGGCTCCAGACTTGCAGCCTTTCCATTCGTTACCTCGTCACCGCTTTCAAAACAGTCTGCTGATAGCGAGAAGAAAGAGGATTTTCTGGCCCTGTTTCACAGGTTCAGAAAACTTCTGAATATTCGTCAGGTCAATTCACTCCCCTTTACCACCTCTACTATTTCTCTAACGCTTCAATCTATTAACTTCCGCCTTTCAATTAAACATTACTGCTACCAAAAGGACGTGCAGGTGAGCGCTCTCTTGAGCAATGAGTGAAATGGTTATCGTCACATTAATGCAAATGACTATTTAAACCTATAAACAGAGAAAACCATATAAAACATCAATTTTTTAAACATCTGTACTTTATTTAAACCTCCTGAAGTACTCAAAATGAAACAAAATAGCACTACACAATGGAAATATTTTCTGCATGAGAACTTCTGAGACTCCATACATCCCATCAATCACTTGAGCAACTTTGAGAGTGTCACAAAACCCATTTTACTCTCAAGTGTATCTTAAAATTCTTCTCTCAGTCTACAAGTCATCTCTAACTGCTGGGCACATCCCGCTACACAACAGCCAGTCCCTAAACTCCTGCTTCCCTTTTTTGTCATGGATGTAGGGAGTACTTACACAACATTACAGAAGTTAATGGTATGCTTCAGTTCTAACAGATTGCATGCTCTACTTTAGAAAGGAGATGTAATGACAATTTATCCACAATAAGTTGAAAAAAATAATCACTGAAGAGTTGTTCAGAATTATGTGACAGTAGAAGTACATAAAGACATTTTATATCCATTCTAAATGGTCCAAAGAACGAATTTACATTTAGAAAGGCCACCAAAAAGCACATTTTTGTTAGTAAAAACAAACTGAAAAAAAAGCCCATGTGGAGTTGTGCTCATTTAGTTTATAAATAACTTGGTTTGGTAACATCATTTTAGAAAAGAAAATGGGAGTTATACATGAGTTATATTATTATTGTTCTCAATATAAAACAAATTCAGAATAGTATGCACATGTCTTTGTGACTAACGCTTGGAACATCTACAATCATTTATTACCTCTTACCCTAACTAGACTAAAATTATCATTTTTAGAGCAAACAAAAAAAAAGCTCAAAAAAAAAAATCTACAGACTAATACTAGTCTTCTCAACTTGCTTTTCCTCTTGATTATTCAGCTTAAGAAATACCAGGTCAAACGTAAGTAAAGGTGTTACTATACGTGCCCACAGAGAAACTTGTAATTCAGGGCAATGCTTTACCTGATTTTGTACAAAAGGGATTGTCTATCTTGCTTTTGTAGTAGAGAATATATTATCACCTTTTTAAAGCTTCTACTGCAAACTCCTTATTCTTTATAACACACGAATAGATCTATCCACGACTAAATTGACCCCAACCTATAAAATATGCATTTTTTCAAAAAAACATAGGAATCTAAAAAGGCAGAACTGTTTCCGAAGCACGATGCAAGGCAAGCACTCTCCCTTGACCATACCACAACAGGCCCTACACTATTTACTAGTGTTTTCAGGCTGGCACGTTCTAAGCTTCACCATCAGTCTAGAGCTATTTCAACACTGTTTAGCCTAATTAAAACAGAAATGAAATGAAAGGAAAGGTGTCCTACTATTATTGGTTTGGCCATGAACCCGATTTGTGACCTTGGGAAACAATCCTGCAAGAATACCATTTCTTACCGAAATTCAGAGTAGGTGCTGTAATCTTAAACACTTGGCTCTTACTAGGAGTTAAAAACCACACATTAGGCTAAAAGAAACCACCCGTTAGGATAAATGACTTTTACAAATCAGTAGAACATACAAGGAAACGAAGGGACACGTGGTGTCCTAATCTAGACACGACATATCTAGTTCAGTCTGTCACTGGTGTCCCCTTCTACGTGCCTACCCATACTGGGTTTGAACGGCAAGATTTTGGTAGCAGAGGTGCTACCGGGGAGGCTTGTGAGGAGCTGCTAGATTCCCCCATGCCCCACCGAGCCAACGCCAGCTGGCTCCAGGATGGCCCCACCACTGTCCACTCCACCAGCAACAGTGGTAGCCCTTGTGACAGCGTATTTAAGAAGAGGGAATAACTGCTGCACAACAGCAGCAGGGTGAGAGGAGTGAAAACACGCGAGAGAAAGGACTCTGCAGACACCAAGGAAGAAGGAGGGGGAGGAGGTGCTCCAGATGCCAGAGTAGAGATTCCCCTGCGGCCTGCGGAGGTTGATGGTGGTGTAGACGTCCACCTACAGCCCAGGGAGGACTTCACACCAGAGCAGGCGGACAAGCCTGAAGGAGGCTGTGACCCTATGGAGACAGAAGGCCACACTGGAGCAGGTTTGCTGGCAGGACCCACACCGGAGCAGTCTGTTTCTGGAGGACTGCACCGCATGGACGAGATCTCCTCTGGAACAGTTCATGGGAAGGACCCACCTTAGAGAAGTTCGTGGAGAGGTGTCTCCCATAGGAGGGATTCCATGCTAGAGCAGGAAAAGAGTAGGACGAAGAAGGAGCGGCAGGGGGAACACATGATGAACCGGCAGTAGGACGAAGAAGGAGCGGCAGGGCAAACACATGATGAACTGGCCACAACCCCCATTCCCTGTCCTCCTGCACTGCTGGAGGGGAGGACATGGACAAAATTGGGAGTGAAGTTGAGCCCAGGAAGAAGGGAGGAGTAAGGGTAACGTGTTTTAAGACAGAATTTTTTTTCTTATTACCCTACGCTGACTTGACTGGCAGTAAATGAATTTACCCCAAGTTAAGTCTGTTTTGCCCATGATGGTAACTGCTGAGCGATCTCTCCCTGTCCTTATCTCGACCCACAAGCCTTTCATTACATTTTCTCTCCCCTGATCTTGCTGAGGAGGGAAGTGACAGAGCAGCGTGGTGGGCACCAGGCATCCAGCCAGGGTCAACGCACCACAGGACTTCATCACCTACGTTAGCTAACGATCACGCATCTGCCACCTGAGGCAAATCACCCCAGACAAAAAAACTTAAGAGAACAGTTTTCATTTGGATCCAAAGTGCCACACATTCACATGGTCACTCGCTCTGATGGCAGGTGAGGTGCTGAAAATTCACAGCCAGGGCAGGGGAAGGAGCAGGGCTGCTCCTTCCAGCAGCAAACCTGGGTCACGTTGGATTGTGCTGTGAAAGTGCACTGGAAAAACATCATTATTGCGCTCAGTTTCTATCTACCTTCTTCAGACACTTCCAAAATGTAGGGGGGGAATATCTCAGCTATTGTCAACATCTGGAAGAATAGTTTTAAAACCATAGTTTCTTTAAACAAATTAATTTCTCTTCCTTTCACAGGATCCTACCAACTTCTAGCCTAAATAAGTGCCCCTCATCTAAATTTCAAACGGTTCCTCAAAGGCAGTGAAACAGGCACGCTTTCCAGCTTTTCAACTTCAATGCTGACAAATATAGTTTTGCAAATTGTTTCTTAAGTGCTCGCCTTCCTTAAGTTCAACACTTGTCTAAAACTTTTCTATGTTTAAACTTTTAAAATAGTTCCAAGAGCACAAGTTTTTTCAAACCATCTTTAGAGTTGCTTCAAGTTAAGTCCCAATCATTTTCCACTTTTGAAGTTGAAATTAAGTACCACAGAACAACAAGTATTAACCAGACAAAATTAAATGGGGAAAAGGGGAAAAAAGGGGAAAAGGGGGGAAAAAGGGAAAAGGGGGG